GAGTTGATGATCACTATCATGTTAATTAAAAGCAATTAAAAGACGCCTGCTTCTTGGGAGGAAAGCGATGACAAACCTCAACAGCATCTTAAAAAGCAGAGATATCACGTTGCCAACAAAAGTCCGAATAGTCAAAGCTATGGTTTTTCCAGTAGCAATGTGTGGAAGTGAGAGCTGGACCATAAAGAAAGCAGACCACCAAAGAACTGATGCCTTTGAATTGTGGTGCTGGAGGAGGCTCTTGAGAGTTCCCTGGACTGCAAGGAGAACAAACCTATCCGTTCTAAAGGAAATCAACCCTGAGTGCTCACTGGAAGGACAGATCCTGAAGCTGAGGCTCCAAGACTTTGGCCATCTCATGAGAAGAGAAGAGTCCCTGGAAAAGACCCTGATGTTGGGAAAGTGTGAAGGCAAGAGGAGAAGGGGACGACCGAGGATGAGATGGCTGGACAGTGTCACCGAAGCAACCAACATGACTTTGGCCCAACTCTGGGAGGCCGTGGAACCCGGGAAGGCCTGGCGTGCTCTGGTCCATGGGGTCACAATGAGACGGACACAACTTAAGAACTAAACAACAACAACAACATCATGTTAATTCCTGAGTGCTCAAGGATGTGCTGGGCCACTCACAGGTCCTGCCGTTTGCTGCTCTGTCTGAAGCCCTTGCAGGGAGTATAAAACATGGAAGAGATTGCTTTTAACCAAGGGAAAATGCCCAGCAATTAGCAAGTTTTCTGAGCAATTAATCCAAAATGTTGCAGGTGTTGCTGCTGTTGCTTTGAAAACATAGGCAGGAACCCCCTTGCGTACCAGCTCAATCTTCCCGATGTCACACAGGGCATCCCTTGTGGTGGAAATGAATTTTGTTTTAGAGTCAGCAGCCTGTGAGTGATGGGAAGCCACCTGTATTCCTTGCCTCACCTGGCAGATTTCAAAGCCGAGGAAGCAGGGTTCTGTTTTTAAAACTCCTTCCCCCCCCTCCCCACTTCATTGCCCCTGAAAGACATTATGTTAATTTATGCAATGTTCAAATTTTATACAGTGTAGAATATTAAAGAGGTTACATTCATCATGTGGAAAATATCCCAGATGCGTACTAGGTTTTGTTGAGCTTTCTGACATTTCTCAGGAGTCGGGCAAAGAAAACCAGAGGGGAGACTAGTGGTTAGCTTACAAGGGAAGTGATAAACCCAAACCACTGTTCTTCCAGTTTGTCTCATGCCGGCATATCTTATCATCTCTTCTTCAGCATTCGATTTTCCCTAGGCATTGAGAGGGGGAAAGAAACAGCCCGTTTTTAAAAAAGGGAAAAAATAGGGTCGCAGAGTTTGAGGAGTCTCCTTGCTGGTAATTTGAATACTCGGGTTGTGGCGCCATGATTAAAGGGCAGTACTGCAGCCAAGACTCTGCTCACGTTGTGAGTCCATTCCCAACGGGCTCAGGTAGATGGGTCAAGGCTGGCGCAACTTTCCATCCTTCTGAGGTTGGTAAATTGAGTACTCTGCTTGCTGGAGGGCAAGTGGTTGCCTACATAGTCAAGTTGTCATGATTATGTTGCTCTAGCCCCCCTGGGCTGGTTTATATTGAAACCACAACCACCACAGAAAAGGAGTTGTCTCAGTCTTCCGTGTGAGCGCCTTTCCAATTCCTGAAGATGACTGTCTATCCTCCCTCGGTCTTCTGTTCTCTACATCAGTGGTCCCCAACCTTGGGCCTCCAGATGTTTTTGGACTACAACTCCCAGAAGCCTTCACCACCACCTCTGCTGGCCAGGGTTTCTGGGAGTTGAAGTCCATGAACATCTGGAGGCCCCAGTTTGGGGGACCACTGCTCTACGTGAGCTTCCCAACCTTGGGGGAGCCAGGTGTTTTTGGACTGCCACTCCCAAAAGCCCAGCCAGCACCACTGGCGGTTGAAGGCTTCTGGGAAGGGGAGTCCAAGAACTCCGGAGTGACCCCAAGATTGGAAACCCCTGCTCTAGGCTAAACAGAAGAAGATACAGGGGAGCAAACAGAGAAAGGCCAGCAAAAGTCTGGCTGCTTCTGGTTTCCTGTGATAGCTTAGCCTGGCCTTCCCTACTCCGGGGCTCCCACTACGATGCCCATTCTTCTCCACCAAGCTGCGCATGGCGGTACGCTGGGGGAGAGCCGCTGCTCCGTCTTTCTGCAACTTCGGTGTCCTCGTGAATGCCCTTCCCACAACGAGAGCCACAGGTCGTCCTCTCCAAGGGGCTGTTAGGGAAGAGGTTTACCTCTTGCCCTGACAATCCCCTCCACCTCTCCTTCACCCTCAGGCGCACACCGGGGTGTGTGTGAAAGAAACGGATGTGCCTCCCCCACACCCCAGGACAGCACGGCTCAAGCCTGGGGCTGCCACAAAGGGGGAAGGATGCTGTTGATGCGGGACAGGACTGCCGGCGCACAGATCCTTCCCTTGTGTCCGAGGGAACCTCAGCCCGTGATGCCGCCCCTAACCAGCAACACACACCCCCCCCGGTTTTGAAAAACAGGGTGCTGCCACTGTTTTGGAAAATCACACACACACACACACACCCCTCTGGCCCAGGACTTCTGGTGTTGTTTTCGCCGTAGTGCAAAACCTTTGACAGCAACAAGAGGAGGCGCCTTCAGTGGGAACTAGAGATGGGGGGTCGGGGGATGATGTGATGTGGCTCAGCCAGCGGCATAGCTGGGAACACGACTTTAAATGGGTAGCCCCATTGCTTTCAGAGAACACCTTCCCGGCTGCTGTGCTGCTTGATTCCAGACTGATGGTGTTCGATTCCATTTTTGTACTACCCATTCCTTCTCCAGACGTTTGGGAGGAGGATTCTGCTCACAGTTCCCTTCAACCTGTGATGGCCCTTGTTTTCTTAGCTTGACAGGTGGGACACTCAGTGGCAAAGCGGTTTACACCTGATTACATCCACGCTCGGGCCAAGAGTTCCCTGTCAGGAGAGCATGGCCTTTCTGCGCATGGTGTTTGCCGACGGGGCATGCTCAGTCCTGGCGCTCTCTCTCTCTCTCCAGCTCTGCTTAGCAGTGCTTTTTTTAACTAAACGGAGTAACAAATGTTGACTGTCAGACAGATCGCAAGGTTCCTGGTTTTTAATGCAGCTGCCTTCATGGAGCACCCTGAAGGTGGACTGAGTCTTACACGACAGGAGAAGCCGAGGGGAGGGGGGCCCACAGAGGATTGCTCTAGGGGAGCACAGAGGGAGGGAGGGAGAAGGAGAGGAACACGGCAAGTAGAACAAACCATGGAACAGGATCGATATATATATTCAGCATCCTAGAAATGGTAGGTTTTGCTTGTAGGGGTTTGGTAGACGGAAGAAAGAGTTAGATGGCTTTACATGGGCTTTTGGGGAGGGAGAAGGAGGAGTAGCAAACATGCAGGCTTTTTCTGACACAGGTCACACTCCTAGGATGATAGAATTATAGACCTGAACAGAACGCCAAAGGCCATCAAGCCCAATTCCATTGGGGGGGGGGAGAATAGGATGATAGAATTATAGACCTGAACAGAGCGCCAAAGGCCATCAAGCCCAATTCCATGGGGGGGGGGAAGCATGGTGCTTATATACCGCCCCATAGTGCTTGAAGCACTCTCTGGGCAATTTATATTTGATTACAAAGGCCCCCTTTGTCCCCCCACCCCCGGTGACCTGGATACTCAATTTACCAACCTCGAAAGGATGGATGGTTGTGTCAACCTTAAGCCAGCTACCTGAGATTGAACTCAAGCCCAATTCCATGGGGGGGGGGAAGCATGGTGCTTATATACCGCCCCATAGTGCTTGAAGCACTCTCTGGGCAATTTATATTTGATTACAAAGGCCCCCTTTGTCCCCCCACCCCCGGTGACCTGGATACTCAATTTACCAACCTCGAAAGGATGGATGGCTGTGTCAACCTTAAGCCAGCTACCTGGGATTGAACTCCAGGTCGTGAGCAGAGTTTTGGCTGCAGTCCTGCAGTTTAACCGTTGTGCCAGGAGGCTCCTAAGCCGGGAAATCCGCTGCTAAATTAACCCTGATAAGTGGCTGTCTGACCTCTTCTTAAAAAACTCAACCTGCTTGCCCTCCCGCTTAGCATAATTCTGTGTTTGGCCATGGTTATCATGAAGGCCTAAGAGCGCCTTAGAATGGAAAGGTGGGTTTGCAACCCGCTGGGTTTTTGGAAATCACCCCTGACCGACAGAGAATATGTGCCATCAGGGGAGGGCAGTCATGAAGGATATGCAGTCCTGCAGCTCCCAGAAGCCTTGGAGGAGTTCCAGAGCTGCAGGAATGGCAGGAATAATGATCACTGGGTTGTACAATTTACCAGGGATGGGGACTTGAGTCCCACAACATGCTGTAGAGTCAGACTTAAGTTGCAGTGATGACTTGAATTGGATTTTTTTTTTCAATGACTTCAGCTCAACTCAAGGTTTGGAACCCACCCACCCATTCCTTCCCTTTTTCGGGGGGGGGGGATCTTGTTTTTAATAGGGACCCAGACTTGGGACCAAAGATTTGAACATGGGAGTCAGACCCAAAGACTCGTCAGCATCCCTTTCTTACTCGTGGTGTAAGAAACCTGACCTCTTAGCCTCTCTGATAGGCACACAGAACGCTGTCAACGGGGTCCCGAAGTGGAATCCTACTTTGCTGCTACCAGTGTTGTGTGTTATTTGGCCTCTGCTGGGGCAGGGGCTGCCTTCTGCAGAGGGTTAAATTCAGCTTGTTCCCTTGCATCGTCTAGAACTCCTTCTCTGCAAGCCCCGGTCTGCACTTTCCTGGCATCCCGCTTGTGGGATGCTGCGGAGCCTGCATCGTGTAAAACGAACAAGGTGGGGAGGAAGTGGTTAGTGGAGGAAGACCCTACCGTTGGGCCTCCGGTTGGACAGGATCTTTTTGTGTGTGTGCCTGTGTCCGTTTCAGCCATATGTTTCCTAGTGCACACTTTTGCTTGACAGTGGTGATATATTTTTTGCTGTTTTTTATTCTCTTGCAGAGCATGGCTGGCCGAGGAGGATAAAGGCCCATCCACATCACTCGTCAATCTATCGACTCCAGTTCCAGCAGCAGAAGGGGGTGTTTTGTTTAAGAGCAATCCAACAGGCCATTCAGAGGGGCAGGCAGAGAGAGAGAGAGCAAATCCAGAAGGGCCGCATCAAGACCAGTGGACATCTCGGTTCAATCCATGTGGCCAAGACCTGTATCTCATTACTCTAGAAACTGGACGTTTGAAGGCAGCTCGTAAAACCCACTTGTCGGCGATTGAAAGAAGGCACAGAAGAAACTTCTGCTGACCATAAGAGGGGGAGAAATACCCTCTCCCAATCCTGCTCTTTTCACTGCAGAGCCTGCTCCCACTGCCATACCTTTCTCTGGGTCCACCTTGAGCCCCTGCTGCGTTCTTCCAATTATCATGTTTCTCTTTGCCTAACCATGAAGCTGTTGGTTTTATTTATTGCTAGAGTCATGTCGGAGGAGAGGTGATCGGTCCCCCCCCACACACACTGCTGGAATCATGTTTCTAAAACCTCTGTTGCATGGGAGTTTGTTGATTGCAAATTATGCTTCTCATAAGGTATTTCATGACATTGTGATGTCAAACTGGAAACAGGGCGTACTATCTCTTCTTCTCAGTACCAGTAATAAAATACATTTTGTGAAAAGGAAGGCGGTCTTTTCTTGGCCTGTTGTGATGGGGAAGGAAGCGCTGCCTTGTTGCTGCATGGGAGATTGGAGAAGCTCTCCGGCTCAAACTAGAGAGGAGCTGCTGGATAGCTTGGTTAGGAGTTTGATTCCCCACTGGGTCTTCCGGATGGGGGCCAGACTCTGAGCTGCTGGATAGCTTGGTTGGGAGTTTGGTTCCCCACTGGGTCTCCCGGGTGGGGGCCAGACTCAGTGATCCAGGTGGCTGCTTCCAGTTCCAAGATGAGGGTTTATTAAAGTGAGATGTTCACCCCTTTATCCACATAGCTGCAAAATACTTGTCATTTTTGAAGAAACATTCATATTTCTACTCCAGATACTAAATGGACTTGCTCTGTTTCACAGGCTTACTGGATGGCTTATCCAGGCTCCTGTGATCACCCTAGTCAAAGTATGCCACTGGGAGCAGGGCCTTCTTGATAGCAGCCCCAAATTTTGGGCACCTCTATCCAAAATGAGTTGGGCCACTTGTTCAGCATACTTACTGTCTTATATTAGGGAGGTTACGAGTTCAGCATCAGGAATCACCTTGCTCCTACCAGGACCCTAGTGGCTGGATTTTGAACCCTTCCTTAAAGGCAGCCCCTAGGTAGGAGCTGAGTGCCGTACTCTGCCTCTTGGACTGTAGCAGGTGTCTGTATAATTGAGGCTACGTTGTCAGGCAAAAAGAAAACAAAAATGAAAAAAAATAAAGAAGACACCTTAAGGCCTGAGCAGCTACGTTGTCAGGCAAAAAGAAAACAAAATGAAAAAATAAAGAAGACACCTTAAGGTCTGAGCACTATATTTTAATGTTAATGGGAGCTTTCGTAGACAAGTCCACTTCTTCGGACAGAGGCTGTGCTTCTGTTCTTTAGACCTGGACCTTTGGGGCAAACCCACTGATGCTTCCGAAAACCCACCCAATCTTTGGTGTCACATTAGTCCATGTCGATAACACTGAGTCCAAGAGAAACCTCTGTGCTTCTGTTCTTTAGACCTGGACCTTGGGGCAAACCCACTGATGCTTCCAAAAACCCAGTCTTTGGTGTCACATTAGTCCATCTTGACAATACTGAGTCCAAGAGAAACCCCCAAAATGTGAGCTTGATTCGGGTTTGCAGGAGGAAGTACAGCTCCGTCTAGAAGAGGTTACAGACTTCGACTTACGATCACTTGAAAATGGAAGGAGTGAATGGTTATCACATACAATGCCCTCCATAGTTTGAGACCATGTTATCCTCTCTCTCCAGTGCCATCTGCCTGACCCACCAAATCTAGGTGAGGCTCCTCCACGTAGCCACCTTGAGGGAGGCAGGGCCTTCTCTGCAGTGGCTCCAACTTTAATGGAACCAGCATCTAGAGTAGCTACGCCTGATCAGAGAGGCCTTTTCTGCTGGCCCCGGTTGACTTACTGCTTATCTTCTGGCCTGCTACGTATTATTGCGAAATAGTCTCTGGCGCCATTTGCTTTTTATGCTGTTAGTGTGTTAATTTTACTGTTTATTGTTTGTTTGGTATATATTTCAACTTCTTGTTAAGCCGCCCAGAATAGTATATCTGCACTAATGGGGCAGAGGAGAGAGAGAGAGAGACTGAGAGAGAGAGAGAGAGAGAGACTGGATTGCAACCACTCTAGCCAATGGTGTTCTGTTACATCCCAAATATTCCCCCATGTTCTTTAGCCAATACGTTGTTTCTCCTTCCTTCACTTCTTCGGCTGATTATTTTTGCTTAAGTGACCAACCGAGTTGTAGTTCAACACATTTGAAGCACATAAAGTTGAGTGTAAACGCTAAAGCTGTTCTCAAATTTGGAGGGCCTTGTTTGGAGTTGACATGGGGTATTCGTATACAGACATCCCAGATGCAGGTGGCCAGGATCCCCAGTCCCACCTCCCTGAACCAGCCTGTCCACTTACGGGTCACCCACAGCATGCACGGCTGGCATCCTGCTCGTTGAGCCAATGTAGGACAACGCCTGACGGGCGCTGCTCCGCCTTCTCGCTCTTCTGCGCACTCCAGGCAGGGAGCAGGAGGATGAGTCTCCCCGCTCAGCTGCTGAGTGGCCAGAAGAGCAGGAAGGTGGAGCAGTGCCAGTCGGGCTTCATCTGGTGTGACGGGCAGGATGCTGGCGGCATGCGCTGTGCAGCAACCCAGATGTGGATAGATCAGGTTGGCAGTTCCGGCCAGCTGGGTCCAGGATATCCGAATAATGAATAGCCCGTCTCTACTCTGGAACAACACTGAGGACTAAAAGGACAAGCTCCGCCATGTCTTCAACAATTTCTCAGTTTCCAACATTTTTATCAGTGCTATATCAGTATTTTGGTTCTTCCGTTCCTTGGGTTTATTCTGTTCCATCACCTTCATCTTTTCAAACAAGAGGTTCACTCTCATTCCACATATGAGGCAGAACCCAAGTTTTTAATTTTTGGTGGAACCACCGTTGCTTATATCCCTCCATGCTTGTCTTGGCACTACCAATTAAAGAAGCTTCATTTCAACTTTGAATTTTACATTTCTACCTCCCATTGACTTCCTCTTTTATAAAATCCGAGCTGTGTCGTGTGTCGCTTGCCTGTAACAACAGAAAGGATAATCTTGGGCAAGTATCTACAATCTTGTCTTATTTATTTACCTGTTCTAATTCCCTAATTGGCAACATTTGAACTGCATCATAGCATACAGCAGTGCGTACACCTGCAGATCTCATTAGTATTCAGAGAAGCTTTTGGTAACTCTCCCGCATTAATTACGGAGATGCTTTGTGATTATAGTGTAATTGATGGTATTGTATGTATGTCTGTGTTTCAAAGGGTGCAAAAATTGGAGGTGGGTTCTGAAGTGTGAAAGAAGCCACTACGTACAATTCCAGGAGGGAAGAATTCTGCCCCGGGCATCATCTCTTGGCACACACCGGGCCAAACAACGTGCGCATGAAAGGCATGTTTACATGACTTGATGATGTGTTTACAGATCAGTTCACCTCCAAATTCTCCTTTTTAATGTTCTTTATTATAGGAGAGCACCAAAACATCTGGAGAACTATTCTCTTGGTTAACACCAGAAGGCATCGCTGAAAGCCCAAGGAACAAATGTTTGAGGTCCAGTTATACTTTTTTAAAGACAAGAAATGTTTGCGTCAAGAAGATGAACTATTTTTCTCCATGTGATTAGGAGTTAGCCAAATGTTCTCCAGGACTTTGTAGAGGCTGATCCTCTATAAAAAATGTACCTTTTTCTGGCCGGACAAATCTCTAACCAGTCTTCCCCTACATCTGTAGTTTTTCTTTCTCCCCGCCATTAGATTTAGCTAGCTTTTCGTGCTTCTGTAGCTTGGTGAGGGGCAGCCTTCCCCCTGCCCCCAGTTTCATTCTTTGGTGGGTGATCCCAGACAATCAGGAATCCAACTCAGTCCCTTGACGAATTGATCTTGCATTATTGTATGATCCAACCTATCTAGACATACAGAGACAACACTAAAGAAAATCAGTCACTTTAGAGCAAAGAAAGAATCTATCTTGGGAAGACCTGAAGTCTTGAAAGACAGCTAGGAAATGAGTAGATTTAATTAACAAAATACTTCCTATCTTGGTCATGTAGGAAACCGTAGCCAATCAGGAATCTCTGTCTTAAGAGTGCAACAGCTTCTTTGTTCTTTGGTGATGATATTTGAAAATTCACCAGACTGAAGTAGGTTCTTTAGAACCTGTGGAAGCTTGGTGGGAAAGTGTTCAGTTCTTAACATCAATGCAGACAGCCTGAATTGAACCAAACAATCTTCCTTCAGTTCTTCTAATTGAAGGCAAATCTTTTGGACTTCTTTAGAACAGATATAAAAACATGTTCAGAAATATAGACTCGACGTTCTGCAGGTGCTGAAAGCTTTCCTTCGGTCTGCGTGCCCTGGAAAATGCCTCAGTCAGTAAAACACAAGGTCTGGCTGGTTAATAGAATCTGAAATTTCAGAAAGTAAGCCACAAACCTGTGTCCACCACAGGCTCAGGAAAAGAAAAGAGGAAAACACCCACTTCTGCAAGGAGTTGTATTCGTTGTGTGCACCAACCATCAGAGACTGATAAAGTCCAGAAACCAAGTCTGGACAACATCATAGCCTGCCCTTTTTTAAAATAACAACAACACGACCCATGTTGTTTACCCAGTGGAGAATTGAACCAACCTCGCTAGACAGTTACCCCGCATGACAGTTTTTTCGCTAGACATTGACTTTTTGCGATCGCTATAGCGATTCACAAAACAGTTATTCCTATGGGGGAATTTTGCTGGACAATGTTTGGTCCCTGCTTCGCAAACCGATTTTCGCTAGACAACGATTTTGACAACTCCCTCCGCGCTCGCAAAATGGGTGTTTTCAGGACCTACGCTTCGCAAGACAGTGATTTAAACAGCTGATCGGCGGTTCGCAAAGCGGCTTTCCTATGGCCGATCTTCGCAAAGCAGCTTTCCTATGGCCGATCTTCGCTAGACAATGACGATTCTTCCCCATTGGAACGCACTAAACAGGTTTCAATGCATTCCAATACTTTTAACTAGACAATGATTTCGCTAAACAGTGATTTCAGTGGAACGGATTATCATCGTCTAGCGAGGCACCACTGTATTTTCCTCTGCTTAGATTCTGGCCATCTTGGAACTGCCCGCATTCTGACACAATGATCACACTCTGTTGGCATAAGGCAGCACCTTATATAAAGAAAGAATCTAAAGAAGAACCGAGGACCCTTTTCTGCATTTGATCAAACATTTTACTTGTAAAATTCCCAAGATCGCCTTTGAGAAAAGGGTCTCCAGGAGGCAGAAGATCAGTTATCACAGTAGCAACAGCCGCAGAGACAAGATCGGTTTGATAGCTCTGTGGTGTTGGCCTTTGGCTGCCAAGAGTTTGGGAGTTCAATTCCCCACTGGGGCTCCTTGACGTGGGTTGGACTTGATGATC